GCATTTATAATTGTAAACCAACTTTATAAGCAAAATTGCAGCTTAAAATAAGTTCAGGTGATGGCGAAATCTGCATACACAAAGAAAATAAAAGAACATCAATTAAAGATAACATCAGACATTCTATGCCATATCATATTTGCATAGGAAATCACCAGCAATTTTAAACCAGTTTCACACAAAAACACTTCTTCAAAATTACTAGGTAATACAATTATATATTTTGTTATGAATTTTAATTAACAACCAAAGTGATAACAAACAAATTGAATGAAATGATAACACTAGCAACAAAAAAACAAGATTTTAGAAAGAAGTGCAAGAGAAATTATTAAAATACAACAAAACGGCATATCTATGTTTCGTGCACCTTATAAAGACATTTGACCGCGTCAAATTAAAAGACGTTATCCACATACTGTATGCAAGAGAGATGTTTCTAAGAATAATCAAAACGATCAAAACTATTTACCAAAACAACACAATAAAAGTAAAAGTAGAAGAAGAACTAACTGACCCCATTTAAGCTGGCAATGACGTAAGACAGGGATATTCCCTGAGCCCTCTATTGTTCAACCTAATAATGGATGAAATAATACAATAAGTAAGAACTATACAAAGGATATCAAATGGCAGAAAAACAACTTAAAATAATCTGCTATGCATACGACGCAATACTACTATCTCAAAGTGAAGATGATTTACAACGTATGCTGCACCAATTTAATATAACCGCCAGAAAGTTTAAAATGTTAATTTCCCAAAAAGACAAAATGCATGGTTACAACAGCAAATTTACTAAGATGTAAATTGAAGCTGGATGGTCAGATAATAGAACAAGTGGTTTAAATATTTAGGCATCACATTATGTAGCTACGGAAAGCTCGAAACCGAAGTGGAAGATCAAGTGAATAAAGCAAACAGAGCCGCAGGCTGCCTAAATAAAACAATATGGAGAAATAAAAATATCGGGAAAGAAACGAAAGCTATTGCTGAATTTCTTAAATTACCGCATCCCAAATAATACACCAGGCACTGTCTGCGAAGGAGCTCAGCCTCTTTACTGGCTGATAGTGGTGGTACTATAACCAACTTGAAAAGACACGGGGATGAAAATCAACTCATTTAGCAGAGGGATACGTAGAAAATTCTTTTTTTATTATTAATCCATCAACCACGCAGGGTCATTAGCGTATTTAGATTATGTAACATATGTGACAGTTGATACAATATGTGAATATGCATTAGTTTACAATAATAATAATAATACGTATGTGTTTTAAATGTACATTTTAGATATTTTGAGGAAGATGACAGTTTTTAAGATAGGAAAATATTTTACGGTTTATAATTAAAAAAATAGTACATTGTTTACCGGGTAGGAAAAGCTTAACATTCCTGGACGACTGTGAAGATTGCTAAGTCGAGGCGCAAGCCGAGACTTAGCAACACAGAGTCCAGGAATGTGGCTTTTCCTACGAGGTAAACATACTATTTTTCCGCAAATCGTTTAAAATTCGACAGATATTGATTGATTTAAAAAAAAAGGCGATAATTTTATTCCCAAATAAATGGTGCTTTGAAATTCCTAATAAAATTACTTGGGTTCATATGGAAACGTATTGAGGTTGAATTGTCAAACTTCATTGTCAATCACTAACAAGTGTACGGGTGTCCTTACAGTAAGGAAGTCCTGACTTTTTCTTCAAAAAATTTTGACAGGAATGTCAAAATTTCCTGGCGATTTGCGGAAAAATATATTTTTTCGATCATAAAAATATTTTAAGATAGGAAAGTATTTTCTTCTAGGGCATCTCTTAGGGAGTTGGGTATGCTATATTTGAGTCGTTCACTGTTATATTTAGGACACCGTATTAAAAAATGTTTTACCGTTAGAACACTGTTGCACACTTCACACCCTGGTTTATTTTTGCGCTGTAATAAATAGTCATGAGTAAGTCGTGTATGGTCGACACGGAGACGGGTAAGTATCACTTGCTCTCTTCTGTCTTTTATTGTTGGTTTTCAAAGATGTGGGTGTTTTTTGACTTCGTATAGCCTTGATGGAGTGTTGTTCCAAGTTTGTTGCCATTTTGAATTATTTTTTGTTTTAAGTATGGTTTTAAATCGTTTTGTACCAATATGTTACTTTCTTCGGACATCGGGTTAGTTGGTGCGTTTTTACCTAGTTTATCTACAGCTTCGTTACCTTCAATTCCTACTTGAGAAGGCACCCATAAAAAGTGCACTTGGATGTTCTTATTTGAAATGTTTTTAAGTTCTTTTTTAATAAGAAGTAGAAGGGAGTTGTCACCCCCACACATATAATTGAGTCAATGAGATAATGAACTTAGAGAATCTGTGATTATTATACATCTTTCTTTGTTTTTGTTTTGTATTAACGATGGTGCTTTTAGAATTGCGATTAATTCATGTCTTCCGAATAAATTGCTGCTCCAACTCTGTCTTCATTTTTTGGTGCATCGGTGTATTCGTTTTAGGTATTGCCATATCTGTTTAATAGTGTATAAAACTTTTGTTTAATGACGGTTGATGATATCTTTGATTTTCTTAGGTTTGTTAGATTGATGTCGATAGCAGGAAGAGATATTGTCCATGGTGCAGGGTTGTGGATTGATGAGGTATCATAGGTTTTTTAAAATTAAAAATTTAATTTGAGTAAGTATGATTGTTTACGAAAGTAAAAAGAATGATCAATTTGATGTGATTTTTGAAATTTATTTGTAAATCGATCAGCAAAAACGTTATGCAGTACTGGATTATTTCGGTTTGATGACACTGCCGCTGCATATGTTAGGCTTAGATATTGTCTTCTGAAAGAAGGAGGAAGTTCTCCACTTTCCCAATAAAGACTTTGAATGGGACTTGTATAGTGAGCACCTAAAGAAATACGTGACATCTATTTTGGATAATATCCAGTGACTTCAAATGTGTTTTTTTTTGGTGGAGTTGTAGACGATGGCTCCATAGTCAAGTTTACTAAATTCTTTAAGTTATAAAATTCACATAGATTCACAGATTGAAAATGGCCACAACAACTTAATATCTCAAAAAATAGTAAAAGTACTAACAGGCCTAACACTAATTTTAATACTGCCACTTCTGTTAATATTTCTAACAATATCAATATAAATAATTGTTATAATTGGGTTATTATTATTCAGAAGTAGATTTTTCTAATATTGAATTAACGAGAATAACTTTAAAGTATTTAATAAAAGCTCATAAGTAAAGTTACCAAAACACGATCCAAAGTAATTTTACGAAACTCTCAGGATTCTATCGTCTACTATCTATCTATCTACTATCGACCTACTCCTTTCTTAAAGTATCACTTTCAAAACTTTATTTCGTAAATTACTATTAAATTGTATCCATTTTTAAATTTCTTTACTTTTTCTACAATTCAAATATTATATCACCCCCTCTGTGGCTCAGTGGTAAGAGCGCCTACCTTTGAACCTAAAGGTCGTGAGTTCGAATCTCACCTGGGTGGAGAAATTTTCGTTTATTAAAAATTAATAAATGAAAATAATTTCTATCCTTGTGCGATCGGTACTCACCGGAGGGACCGCAGACGTTCGGATACAATTAGCGTCTCTTAGCAAAGAAAATTACGTTAAAAATTCACTGTACCATGCCAATGACCATTAGTTATCGACGCATTAAACTGAATAAAAAAAAATCACTTATAATAAATAATCGTCATAAAATGTTAATAATAATTTAACTTTCTTGATTATTATTTTATTTATTTAATATTTAATCTACTGTTGATAACATTTTTCAGATCCCAAATATTTTCTTTTTAGCTAAAGGACCGATATCTATCCATAATAGGACCCTCTTGGTATAATTAAAAGTTATGGCGACAAACTAGAATTACCTAAAAGTAAAAAGGGTCTGTAAATCAGGCTGGCATTATATCAACTTGTAACGTGTATAATTCAAAATTACCTCTGCGAAAGTTTCAGGATATTAGTCCTGAAAAAACTTTTCAATTTCATAACAAACTCGGGGTGGTTGTTTGTATATAAATTACGTCATACTGTTGGTGCTACCAAGCATTAATCATCACGCTTACATTTTTTAATTTACTCGCTAAAGGGCTGCATCGCTTTAAACTTGTTTGGACAATTTTTGAAATTATTAGATCCTCTCAAAACCATAACTCATTCAGACAGTAAAAATTACGAAAAAAATGTTTTCGTATCATCTGATTTTATCTGATACAAAAATGAAGAGTTATTGGAAGTAAGGGAGTAAAATTAACAAAATTACATATACAGACTCTTGGTAACCATCATTTTTAATTACAATACGAATAACTTGAAAATATTTCTTTAAATAACTTAACAATACTAAATATTATGTATAATTGTATAACTGAGTCGTTCTTTACTTTTAAATAAGATGGATAAAAACACCCGACAAATAGAGTTGCTTTTAATAAGTAATTTTTATTACCATAAAAGTACAGAAACCTTAATTGGACGGCGTTATGCATCACTAGACCAAGTGCCAAAAATTGATTTTGAGATATTTGACTTCAAAGTTTTCACTCTATTAAAATTTAGTATATGTTACAATAGTCGTAATTTTTTGTTTTCGAAGACAGTTTTTTTATGTTTTCTCTAAGTGCGAAATAGTAACTTGCTAATGTTAAAGAAAAACGAAAAAAAAAATAAAAAGGCTTTTGGTCGACTTACGATTTTCGCCACATTGTGTAATTGTGTTATACATCAATAGACCAAGCGACATGGAGGTCGTTTGGTCTAGTGATGCGTAACTAAAATATCACTTTTAGTGAATGATTAGTAGGCCACAAGCTATTTTTTCTTTTTGGGTATGACAATAAAAGTCGTTGTTTTGAATATTTTATATTACTTAAGAAATTAATCAAAATATAAAAAAAAACTTGAACTCAGTGTTAACAGTAGGTACAATTTTCTGAATATTATGAAAATAGTAAATAAACATTACTCATCTCGTATGTCAAAGTCTAAGTCTCCATCAAATCCGTCAATGTCATCTTCTACTGTATTGTTACTGAAAAGGGAGCGATACAGAGGTTTTGCATCATTTGGTATTAGGTGCATTAAAAATCTTAAGTCGTTAAGCTTAGGCACAGAAAGTGGCTTGCCTGTGGGCCAAAGAGGAATCAAGTGGTTACTTAGGGATTGCATTGCAACGGGCCGTCCTTTTTGAAGTTTCTTGTGAAGATCTACTTCAACTTCACTAGTGTTAAAATCAGTTTTCATAAAAATACTCAGTGGTTTATCCTTTCTTATTTCAATTTCTCTTGTTTTAAGCCAGCTTATCTTACGGTTTTCTATGTCTTATTCACAGTTTGTAATAATAGTTTCCAACTTCTTTGTTTCAACGAATTCTTCTTTTTTTATTCTGTGAACTACTAGTGAGTTCTTTTTACGGGATTTCTTCATCACGTTTAGTAAATCATCAACGGTATATAAATGTTGTTGAAAGTTATCTATCATTGGGTAAAAACTATGACAGAAAGATAGCGTTATGTAATTTTTTCAATGGTAGGATGAGTTTCCAAAATCGTTTTCAGAATTAAAACTATTTTGATGTTGCGGTTTTAGATGCCCCAAGAGTGTGACCACAAAATTACATGTTTTGCAGAAGTACCATTTTCTTCAATATGTTTCTTAAGACAACTGCCTACTTTCTGGGCTCTCCGACCAGCTTCACCTTCTATCCAAACATAACACTGACCTTTGTTATCTTTGCCGCTATGGATACCAAGGTTGTAAATACGTAATTGACGCTTATAATATACGATATTTGTTGGAATTCTCGGAAGGGGAAGAGTTTTTTTTTTTAAATCAAAACAAAAGGTTTCCATTTCTGGTTGACCGTTACTCATTTTCATGTCTAGCTTTCTTTTATATTGTGCATTTTCAGCTTCTTCTAAGTGCACATTTTTTTCTTCCTTTAACTTGCTTAATTTTTCGTTATCTGCACAATTTTTAATTTCTAATTCGAAACAATCACATCTCTACAAGCATTTTTTTTCAAGTTTTTTCTTTGAAGATTAAATCGTTTTGAAAATATTTTTTTTAAAACGAAAATTTAAAGGATCATTGTCTGCTTCTTCAATATATAATTCATACATTTTACTTAATGTTGTTTCTTCTGTTAGGTATTCTCTTTCTGTGTTAGCTGTTCTGTAATGTGACTTGTACTTAGGGAATTTCGTTATGTACTTAATTACTTTTTGTACACGATTATCGTTAATTTAATTATGATCTTTATTTTGACCATGACAATCTCGAACACCCATTGGACGTTTCATAGCTTTCAATGCTGCATTGACTTTGCAACTTGATATTCTCAAGGTCTGTGAAAAAAAAAGGTTTACACACTGTCACAGGTTACTGATTTTGGTTCTTTTACGGTTTATTGGGACTTACTTACGGAAATATTTGAACAAATTATAGCTCTCTTAATTTTATAGTAAAAATAAAGCAATAACTGACACTACTTCTTAACCTAAACGCCTCAACAAGTTATTATCAACAACGTTTATGTACGTATGTTTCCAAATATTCTATTTACAATCATTAAAACGCTCGCAAGAGACGCTTGGTCTTCTTCTTCTTCAGCCTGTGTTCGTCCACTGCTGGACATAGGCCTCTTCCATTTGCTTCCATCGATTTCTACTTTTGGCAATTCTCATCCACTGCTTGCCCGCGACTTGTTTGATATCGTCTGTCCACCTCTTCTGCGGTCTGCCTACTCCTCGCCTGTTCTCTCTTGGTCTCCAGTTTGTTAATCTTTGTGTCCATTTTTCGGGATTATCTCGGGCAACGTGTCCGACCCATTGCCACTTGAGCCTTGCAATACGTTCTGAGACATCAGTAATTTTTGTTCTTTCACGAATGACGTTATTTCGAATCCTGTCTCTCAAACTAATCCCTAGCATGGCCCTCTCCATTGCTCTTTGGGTTGTACTGAGCTGCTCTAAGGTTTTCTTTGTGAAGGCCATGGTCTCCAGTCCATATGTAGTTACAGGCAAGATACATTTGTCATAAACTCTACGTTTTAGACACATTGGTATATCTTTATTCTTCAAAATAAAGCTTAATTTGCCGAAAGCTCCCCAAGACAGTTGTATGCGTCTTTTTATTTCGGCTATTTGATTTTCTTTGCCGATTTTAATGGTATGTCCAAGATATATATAGTGGTCTACATTTTCAAGACTGACGTTGTCAATAACAAGATTAGTTTGTAAATTACTCATTATTTTTGTTTTCTGAAGGTTCATTTTGAGACCTATTTTATTTGACTGCTGGTTTAATTCCTTCAACATTTGCTCCAGTTCCTTGATATCTGTACTAAATAATACTATGTCATCCGCAAACCTCAAATGACTCAAACGTACACCATCAATGTTTAGACCTTTTTCCTCCCAGTCAAGCTGTTTGAATACATTTTCCAATGCTAAGGTAAAAAGCTTTGGTGAAATAGTATCACCTTGTCTAATACCTTTATCAAGGCGCATTTTTTCAGTTTTTTCGTCTTCATTGATTTTGATGTGGAATGTGGCCTGTTCATAAATGTTTTTAATGAGTGTAGTGTACCGTGAGTCTATTCGAGCATCCTTCAGGGCTGACAAAAAGGACCAAGTCTCAATACTATCGAAAGCCTTGTGAAAGTCGATAAATGCCATATGTAAAGGTACATTATATTCTGTGGTTTTTTCTACTAGTGTTCTGATGGTTTGTAAGTGATCATTAGTACCAAACCCTTTTCTAAATCCCGCCTGTTCAACCGGTTGATATAAATCAAGTTTTTGTGTTATGCGGTTGGTTATTATTCTTGTTAACAATTTGTATAAGTGTGACAACAAACTTAGGTCTGTAGTTTTCAATATTAGTAGTGTCTCCTTTCTTGTGTAAAAGTATTTTTTCGGCGTTTTCCCATAGGCTGGGTATTCTTTTTTCTGTTAGACACTTATTCAGTAACACTTCCACAACTTCTACAACGATGTTGCCGCCCATTTTTAACATTTCAGGCGTTATACGATCCTCGCCAGGAGCTTTTTTATTTTTCATTCATTTGCTTGGTCTACTGATGCAAAACTGATACAGAAAATTTGTCGCTTTATCTAGTATTGCAAAATTCAAAATCCAGAATAAGAAGAAAGGCACTTGGTCTTTTTAAATATATCTGGATGACCGTTACTAACAGACTAATGGGATTTATTATGTAGATAGTTTATGCTATTTCCATCAGAAAGCGCCATAATCCACAATTTGAGAAAATGGCGCTTGATCTAGTGATGCATAACTCCGTCCAATTGAAGAGCATGTTTTGCACAACGCGTTTAAATTTTTGATCCTTTTTGGATGGACACATAAAGCATAGTTTTTTTTACAATTTTGTTGGCAGTCAGGCCCTTATTGCAGTTGCCAATTTTCACAAATTTTTGCATGTCTTCAAGAATATGATTTTGGACTTTTCCGTTTTCCGCCGTTCTATTTATGAAGACAAAATTAATTATATGGACGGTTCCTTTAAGAAGAATTTCAGTTTATTATTTTATACATTCTTATAGTTGAAGTGTTTGTTCTTCTTCTTACGGTGCCTATCCGTTCCGGATGTTGGCGATCAACATGGCTATCCTAACTTTGCTTGCTGCTATTCTGAATAGTCCGGTTGTCGATGTATTAAACCACTTTCTCAGGTTTTGAAGCCAAGATATTCTTCTTCTTCCTGATCCTCTCTTTCCAAATACCTTGCCCTGAAGAATGAGTTGCAACAAGCCGTATCTCTGTTCATTCCTCATAACATGGCCAAGATATTCTAGTTTGCGCTCTTTGATGGTGTTAATAATCTCGCCTTCCTTGCCTATTCTCTGTAAGATACGTCTGTAACACCACATCTCGAATGCCTTGAGTTTTTTCTTAAGGAAGCTTCGGAAAGTATCCAGGCCTCTACTCCGTATAATAAGGTAGAAAATACATAGCATCTAATAAGAGAGATTTTGGTAGCAAGTGGTAAATCATGACTTCTGAAAAGAGACTTTATCATTATGAACGCTGATCTCGCTTTTCCTATGCGTTGTTTTATTTCACTGGAGTGATCCCATTGGCTGTTAATATTGGTACCAACGTATGTGTAGCTGTCCACTCTGTCAATTGGATGTTGGTTAACCAAAAGCTGTGTCTTTAATATTTCGCGCTTACTGACTACCATGTACTTTGTTTTCTTCGTATTAAGATCAAGTCCGTGTTCTCTACTTATATGTGATATATGCGACATTATTCTTTGCAAACCGTCCAGACTATCTGCAAAAACTACTGCGTCGTCGGCATATCTAATGTTGTTTAGACGCATTCCGTTGACTAATACGCCTTCTTGTAGTTCTCCCAGCGCTTGCTCGAAGATATATTCAGAGTATATATTAAATAACACCGGGGACAGAATGCATCCTTGCCTCAAGTGTTTGTTATCAAAAATAAAATTAGAACTATTATAATTAGAAAAAAATTTTGGGAAAAAAGTGGTGAAGTGTTAAAGTAGTATATATCACAAATCATTGGTGAGTATTTAATTTACATCATATTATTAGTATCAAAAAAAATTAATAATATCTTTCCATTTCCCTGTTGTAAGTTTTTATCTACCAATTGGTTGTTTTTTTTTCCTCAAATTTTCGTCTGTGGTTTTTCATCGCCAGAGGCGGACATAGTTTAAATATTTTGGAAGAAAGTCCGTAAGAAAGCAAAAAATGGATAATCTTACTCAAAATTCTTCAAATGTCAATATTACTTTACAGAATGTCAACAGCACGGTTAAATCATACTCAGCAGCAGCGTTAGTTGAAAAATTCCACTCCATTACCAAATAGAGATCAAGAGATAGTTTTCCCATCGATAGAAGGTTGCAAAATTCAAGAATATCTCTTACAGATTGAACCAGTGGTTAACTTACATATAATTTGTTCACGTTTATCTAACAATCGAGTTTGCATATATCTGAGAGATAAATAAATAGTCGAGGATCTTCTCAAAAATAATGAAACCATCATAATTAACAATACTCGTCTAGTTGCCCGGCGACTAATAATCCCATCAAAAAGATTGCTGGTATCTAATGTAAGCCCCACAATTCCTTATGAAAATATTACACGACATTTACAAAACGAATGTTTAACATTGATAGTAGCAATCACAACAATTTCTTCTTCCAACAGCTCACAATCCGCCAACGCATACAGCTCGTAATTGAATCGAAACTTACTCCCAAATATGTTTGAGTCATCTTCGACTCAAAATCCAGAACTGTTAAATCCACTCCTCTCTCATCCTATTAGTACCCGTATGAATTCTGAGTTAATCGAAAATGCCTTGGTTGACAATACAAAGTCTTATCCTTCCTTAACATAGAGTATTTTACATAAACCTACTGCTACTGCTGTTTCATCTCCTACTTCTGAGGATGTCCAATTTGCAATTCCAACTTTAAAACAGATAAAAAAAGCAAAACAGAAACAAACCTAAACAAAACATAAAGTTTTTAGACAATATTAAAACATATATCGATAAACACTCTCCTTCCTTTTGTCTTACAGTCAGCAAATTGAAAGTTTACTTGAAAATTGCCATGGCTGCTCTGTTGTATTAACGATTGCGAATGATTATACTTTAGATACCGTAGCTCTTATTAATATGTTGGAAGAAATACGTCCCCATTTAGAAGACAGAACAACAAAATATCTCTGCACAAAATTGAGGAAAAAATTGGCTGTACAACTTGATTTAGCCATTTTGGATACTGAAAGTGATACATCCACTTGTTAACCCTGAATTTTACTTTATTTCGCGTAATCAATATATACTAATTTATGTATAATACAAT